TCTGGGAGTTGAAGTCCACTCATCTTAAAGTGGCCAAGTTTGGACAACACTGGACTAGATGTTCAAACATAGCTGATGTTGACAAAACTAATAACTGAACACTTGAGACAGGTGTCTTACCTGAAGTACAAGCCCAATCGTCATTGTTATGGTACACACCATCATGCCTAAGAGACCAGCCATAAAGAGGGACCGTCTCCCTGCTTTCTCCACCAGAAAAACCTGGGGGGGGGGGGGGGAAGAAGGGGTAAGTTTTTTCAATTTCACAATCTCCTTGAAATTGGCAATGCAGCTAAACTATATTGTGAGTGTGAGTGAGCAATTGGAATCTACCAGGCCCATCACAAAAACTGGCTTTGCACACAGACAAATCACCAGAGGTGAAAATCCTCTCCCTTATCAAATCACAGAGCTTTGGGGCAACATTGTTAGAAGTTGTGCAAATAGATTGCAGTCTAGAATGTAGGCCGAGAGTCAAAATCTATATCCTCATGAGTAAGATAGTTGTTTTTTGTTTTGTTACATACATAAACATAGAAGATGGAAACAGACATGGAAAAATGAGGAAAATCTTTCAAAAGATCTCTGAACTCAGAAGGAGGTTCCAGCCTCAGATTGGTTGATAAAGGACACTGATGGACGGTAACCAATTCAAAGGAGATCAAAGGAAGATGGAAGGAGTATAATGAAACACTATACAGTAGAGATGTCAACATCCAAGATATCTTAGAAGATATTCCCTACTTACAAGAAAGTATTTTGTACTTGTAAGTAGTACTAGAAAATGAAATTAGATTAGCACTCCAGTCATTACCAAATCAGAAGACTACAGGAAATGATGGAAAACCCACTGAAATATGGCAAGCAACAGAAGAACAATCAGTCAAGATTCTAACCAAGCTATGCCAGCAAATCTGGAGAACCATACAGTGGTGAACCAATTGGAAGAGGTCAATTTACATTCCAATACCAAAAAAGGAGACTTAACAGAGCAAACTATTGTACAGTATCCTTAGTTTCACATGCTAGCAAAATAATGCTTAGGATCAGCCAGTGCATATTAGAGCCCTACATGGAAAAAGAGATGCCAGATGTTCAAGCTAGCTTTAGAAAAAGCCAAGGAACATGAGAGATTGTTGCTGATGCACACTGGATAATTGAGAAAGCCAAAGAATGCCAAAAAGATGTCACCACGTGCTTCATCAATTATAGAAAGGCCTTTGATTGTGTCGTTCATGTCAAGCTGTGGCATGTGCTCAGAAAAATGGGAATCCCAGAACATCTCATTGTTCTCATAAGAAACTTATGTACAGGTCAGGAAGCCACAATATACTCCTGAGAATATCATGGACAGCCAGGAAAACAAACCAATGGATCATTGTCAGGCCTAGCCCAAGGAACTCCAAGAGACAATGCAAATTCGTTTCAGCTTTGTTTATTAGCAACACCCTCTAGCAAAAACCTCCCCAGACAAAAACCCCAGTTCCCAAGTCAGCCAGCCACAACATTGTGAATTCCTCAGGGAGGTGCCAGTCTCACCCTCTTGTATCTCCCACGCTCCTCCGGCAAGCTAAGAAAATGTTTTTCTCCATGAGCCTGGCCTTCATAATTCCATTCCATCACAATCATTGAACAAATCAACCCAGAGTTCTCACTTGAGACACAAACAATCAGGCCCAAATTATTGTACTTCAGAAATATGCAAAGACCTAGCTCTCTGGAAAAGACTATGATGTTGGGAAAGGTGGAAGGAAAGAGAAGGAGAATGACCAGAAGCAAGGTGGATGAGCTCAGTTACAGTGGCGATGAGTGCACCATTGGAAGTCCTGAAAGACCAGGTTAGGGACAGATTGTCATGGAGAAAATCTACCTACAGTATGTGGTTGCTAGGAGTTGAAAATGACTTGATGCCACATAATTAATCAATCAATTTGTCTCTGCTAGAGAGAATTTTTTTAGAAGAGAAGAAAGAAAAAGAAAAGGGAAAAATCTGTGAAGAGAGGCTGCAAAAAGGATGGGTCTCCCACCATTCCCCACAGCCTCTGATGAACGTTTGGAGTCTCCAAAAAGTTGTAAAAGCCCAGAAAACTGAAATAAAATATGTTTTTCTTCTGGACAGTAGAAATAAGTAAAATGTGTGGCCAGAAATTTGCACTAGGTATTTGATTTCTCTTTTCTGTATTGCACTAAGTCTCCTTTTTGTTTCCTCTTCGTGGAAGTTGTGGAACTAGGTGTTTAACTTCAGCCTTCATTCATGTTTCAAGCTATCTTCATGAAGATCCTTTTTCTTTAGAATCCACTTGTGATCCATAATAATTTGAACCCTCTCCAGTCTCTTTTCAGCCTTTGGGGGCAAAGAGCTCTTCATTTATAGCAGACCTTGTGCCCTGTTCAAATTATTACATTTTCTTTTGAATTTTTCTTTCTTAATGAATTTGCAAGTCTGTAATTATGTTTTTCCACAGTGAATATTTATAATGTAATACTTAAAGTTAAAAAGGGTAGGGTTTTTTATACATTACTTTTTAAAAAAAGAAAAAAGAAAATTTCATTTTGTTCATCCCCATGAGATTGATTTATTTCCCAGAGTGGGGAAGGGTTTCGTTGAAGTGCTGAATCCTTCAGTAGTCACACACTACATAGCCAGGAGGTGGTGCTACAGAAATTGTTTCAGCATTTGCATTTTGACAGCTTAATCAACAGAGAGACAGCATGGGGGGAACGGGTCTTTCTTTAACATTGGGATCAGGGGATAGATGCCAGGTGCAGTGTCCCCTGGAGGATAGGTAATAGCACCTGTCACAGTGTTATCTCAAAGTAGTCAAGGGGACAAAGCTGTGAAGATCCAGAAGTTTCTGGAGTGGAGATTTGAGACCTCTAGACTTCTACTCTGCGGGCCTCAACATCACTGCAGGAAATACATGCAAAAGTGACTGATTGACATCTTCCTACTTCATGAAAGCCTACCCAGGAGAGCTGCAGAGGACTGTAGCAGGGATGAATGAGATCATGTACTAAAAGTGTTTTGAGGTCTTGCACTAGGCCAGGGTGAGGTTTTGTTTGCGGGTTTCAAATCAGACTCTAAAAGTGAAAAAGAAAGTAAAAGCATTGATACCAGAGAGAGAAAAAAGGAGGAAGAAAGAGAATCTCAAAGGTACACACATGGGCATTTGCCATGATGATGTCAAAATGATTACATGTACTTCATGATATAATTGCACAACACCACTGATATAAATTACATAATTCACATCATTTGAGTGATAACAGATGTGTCTTCATTTGCCAACCCTTCCCCTGCTGTGGATGCCATGGGCCCATCGAAATAAATAATAAACGGCCCAAACGCTTTAGAAAAACAAGTATTCCTTTGGGACTCAGTGTTTCCTTTAATCCATCTTCCATGGACAGGGCCTTTGCTGTTACAGTATAGCCCCCATCTCTGGAATTCTCTACCCCAGAGAATACGGTATTTTAAGCCATTAAATATTAATGAGGGATTTATGTTGGCATTTTATTTTATTTCTTTTTTTACTGCTCTGACAAACCCCTTTTGCTTTGAAGTTCATGCTTTGCAGGCTTTTTGTAAGCTGAACTAAATCTCTGATGAGGAAGAGCTTATAACTGTTTTAAAATAAAGCAAAATCACTTTTAGCAATTTGGGAAAAAGATTTTCTTCACTATCCTAATGATAACAGATGGTCTGTGAATGGGTCCTTGCATTTTAAGATCACAGTACAGCCCAGTATGCCAGAGATAGCAATCAGCCATCAAGTTTTGTAATAATTGACAGCCCTGTCCTTTGTGAGTTTGTCCAGTCCCCTTTTAAAACCATCTGGTGGTTATAAATTCCATACTTCAATCCTAACCTCTGGTGGACTTTCTCTTGCAGAAGGATAAAAAACAAAATTCTGCTGATGCAAATCAAGCATTAGAACAATAACTTCAGTCACCCAGGTTCATTCATATTCTAAGAAAATAAAACACAAAGTCTTGTCCTTAAAATGTCTCACCCCGTGGGGAGCATGTAATCCTATATTGTCATCTCTTTGCTCATGTCCTGCCTATTGGGTTGCTGGCCTCAGCACACCTTTATTTTGAGTAGCAGCTCTTTTCTGCTACTTCAGCGATCAAAGTTCAAATAAATGGTTATGTCTACCTGTTGGTCTGGACCACCAGTCATTGATTTTTTGATAAACCCCAGATAATATTTAAAGTCTCGTAGAGAAGAATAAACACTGGCTGGAACCAGGACAACATAGTTACTACAGATGTCAAACGAAAGACAAAATTTTAAAACTGCTATCTAGAACCAAGATTAATAGAACACTAGGCTTCTAACTGAACAGAAGAAAAAGAAGTTTATTGTTCGCAGTGTGAAAAAAGTCTAAGTCCTTCTTGATATTTTTTTTAAAAACTGAATGTTTCTTCTTAGTTTCCATGGAATCCTAACCAGATTTCCTCAGATGCAAGTCCCATTCCTTTCCGTAATGCTAAGTTCATTAGGATCTTCTTGGTCTTCTACTGTTGGAATTCCCTTGGGATTTGCAAGAAACGTTGGATTTCTTGCAAATCCAACATTTGCAAGAAAGGTCGATAAAGTACAATCTAAAACTACTGAGAGCAGCTGCAGAATTGTGATCAGGATTGGGCAAGTGAGTACCCTCCAGATGTTTTTGACTTGTTATTGCCTATGCAGCCTGGGGTTCATAAGAACTGGACCCCAAAACATCTGGAAACCACAGGCTAAGCTAGATGGCACCAAGTCTGACTATTATTATATATTATACTTCTAGCTTTAATTGCACAGAATAGCATCTTTGTATAATGAACAAGCACCTCCTGCCCAACATTATTCCCATGGATGAAGATCTTGTCATCTGTAGATAGTTTGGAATTTCCTGGTATTGAGCCAAGTCTATAATTCTCCTAGCTGTCTGGACTTATAAAAGGAGAAGGAAAAAGTGGAGAAGTGGTAGCAGATTTTTTTCTTGGGTAAAATCAATTCACAAATTGTTAGCCATTCTTGCACTGACAGAGGCAGCATGCTTTAGACAAAGACAGCTTGTGGGGTAGTGGAAGGGAGTTAGTTTATTCCAGTTCAGACTTGTGAGCTTCCCACAGGCACCCAGTTGGCCACTGTGTGATGCAGAGTGCTGGACTAAAAGGGTCTAGGACAGTGTTTCTCAACCTTGGCAACTTTAAGATGTGTGGACTTCAACTCCCAGAATTCCCCCCCCCCCACTTCTGGCTGGGGGAGTCTTGGGGGTTGAGGGCCTACAACTCTAAAGTTCCCAGGGTGGGGAACACAGGGTCTGGGGCCTATTCCGGCG